GAAACCATATACTTTCATGGGAAAGTATACATTCCGAGTCAAATGACTAAGGAATTTGTGACGGAACAACATGGGTTGCCGGCACACGGACATCAAGGAATTGCAAGGACATTTGCAAGAATCCGGGAAATCAGTTACTTCCCACGAATGAGAACGATAGTTGAAGAAGTTGTTGGAAGTTGCGACACCTGCATACGAAACAAGTCATCACGACATGCTCCGTATGGTCAGCTCCAGACCCCAGACATGCCTTCTCAGCCATGGAAGTCCATTACATGGGACTTTGTGGTCAAACTACCACTCTCGAAAGACCCTACTACAGGAGTTGAGTACGACGCAATACTCAACGTAGTAGACAGATTGACAAAATTTGCATACATGATACCATTCAAAGAAACATGGACTGCTGAGCAACTAGCATATGTATTCTTTAGGGTCATAGTAAGCATACATGGAGTACCAGATGAGATAATCTCGGACAGAGACAAGCTCTTTACCTCGAAATTCTGGACTACCTTATTAGCACTAATGGGTATTAAAAGAAAGCTGTCGACAGCTTTCCACCCACAGACAGACGGTCAAACAGAAAGGACCAATCAGACAATGGAAGCATATCTTAGATGCTATATAAATTATCGACAGGACAATTGGGTAGAGCTATTACCTATGGCACAATTCGCATATAACACATCGGAAACGGAAACCACAAAGATTACACCAGCACGCGCGAACTTTGGGTTTAATCCTAAAGCATACCAAACACCGATACTACAGGAAGTTAATGCCGAATCAGCAATAATACAAGTCGAACAATTAAAGGATTTACAAGAGCAGCTTGCTCTTGATCTAAGATTCATATCATCCAGAACAGCAGCGTACTACAATACGAAACGTAGTATGGAACCTACGCTTAAAGAGGGGGATAAAGTTTATCTGCTACGACGAAACATCGAAACCAAGAGACCAAGCAATAAACTCGATCACAGGAAACTAGGACCATTCAAAATTGATAAGGTAATAGGAACCGTCAATTATCGGTTAAAACTACCAGACACAATGAATATCCACCCAGTATTCCATATATCCTTGCTCGAACCAGCACCACCAGGAGCGCCGAGTGCGCCATTAACGGAAATCGAACCAGTCAACCCGAACGCCATATACGATGTCGAAACAATACTAGACTGTAAATACGTCAGAGGCACAATCAAATACTTGATCAAATGGTTAGATTATCCACATACCGAAAATTCATGGGAACCAAGAACAAACCTCAACTGCCCTGAGAAGTTGGAGGCATTTCACCAGCAATACCCGGATTTGCCCAGAAAGAAGGAGAATCCATTGAGGCAAGGATCGAAGGATCCAAAGAAGAGGAATCGAAAGCAAAGGAGTCGTCGCTAGGATCAGCAGTCGAAACAGATGCTTGTTCCCGCTCCTTTTCAACACGTTCATTTTCCAACCTATCCTTTTCCTCAGCTGCATCCAGCTCATCCAAGGTTTTCAGACCACGACGCAACATGGCACCAGCACGGTCACGAAGGGATCGTTGCTGAGTGTCGAGGCGAATCAATTTAGAAAGAGTAGCACGGCGCTCCGTTTCTAGACGTTGTTCCTCGCGCTCCAAAGCATCCCAATCCGAGACAGTGGGAGGAAGAAGGTCACACTTCAGACCAGCTTTAACACACTCACCACAACGACGAGACTCTGACAAAACACGACATTCCAGTTTGCGAGAAGAACAACGAGCACAAGGATCATCCATAATAAAACCTCTCTCTTTGAATTTGGTATACAAGCAAGCACGATTTTCAGTTGATTTGGGAGTCCTAACAACAGGCATTATGAAAGAAAGAAATCAGTCATTACATTATTACAAGAAGTGGGGTAAACACTATAAGTAACGCTTGGGGACAAGCGCTAAGCTAGGAAGGGGATAGTGTTACGATGGTCTGCCACAATAGACGTCACGTGACCCCGACGCTTAGGTAACCGGATCAGAGGGATCATTAGTGATCCAGTTGATCGGATCAGAGGGATCATTTGTGATCCGACTGAGCACAGAGAACGAAGGTCTATATAAGGGAATGGGTTTCATTACAATGTAGAGCTTCGTGCTCAAGAACAATCATTAGTTTCATTACTATAGTTACGAGAATTGCAACCAGTTACAACCTTATTGAATTCCTACTTGAAGTCTAGTCTAAACCACCTCGAGAGATCTCTAGACACTTCCACGTGACCCTAGAGGCAGCTCCCGTAACACGAATGTGGGAACTTTAACATTACTTCTAGTGCTGAGCTTGGAATTGGGTCATTAAATACTTTGTTGAAATAGAAATAGAAATACATATGTAACGTAAGTCATGGCGTAATGCGTCTAATGGCGTAATGCGTCTAATTGCGGGGAACCACTCTATTAAAATCTCAATTACTCAACAATCAACTATAATACAATCTCCAGTATCACTTTCAGATTCATCTTCAACTTCTTCTCCAATATCCTCTTCAGTTTCAGTTTCATATTCAATTACTTTCCCTTTCCCTTTTCCTTTTTTCATTGTCTGTACCTTAGTAGCTTTTTCGACTTCCACTACTGCATCACATAATTCTTGCGTAGAAATATGAAAATGACCCTTCAAAACTAGTCTCTTTCCTTTCTTACGTATCGTACGTTTCTTCATAATAGCTCGTAAATTATTCGCATCGTGTTGGTGAACAATACTTTGAGCTCGAAGTTGCTCACTCCCAATCGTCAATTTTCGAATGTATTGACGAACCGGGGTTGAAAGAGTCGTATCATTTTCAATTGTTGAATTTAAAAGGTTATTTGCTGTTTGTAAGATTGCTACATCCGGGGGTGAGCTATTGACGAAGACTTGGTTAAAAATATCAAATTGGGTTGGTTCTTTGGATATTTCGACTTCGGGGGTAAACTCTCGACCCAGTGTACGGAACACTCTCTGTGGATTAAATGGATGTAACCCAGCTCCCCGCCATGCCGATTCGATATTTTGATGATGGCATACGTCGGCTCGAGCTTTAATATATGCCTCCATCCATTCAATCTTTTGTATTCGTACAAGTTGAGCTTGATTCAAATCAGAAAGTGCTGCGGTGAGCCGTTTTTTCAATGGACCGAAAACCGCAACATCAAGTGGCTGAAGCAAATGCGAGGTATGAGGAGGAAGTATAAGAAGTACAATTCGATTTTGAAGGCAGTGAGCTATAAAGCTTCCACTAATATGAGAATCGTGGCCATCGCAGATGAGAAGCCGATATTTGCCACCTGCTTTTGCACGAGTTGCAGGTTCGAAAACGCGTTTTAGCCATTCTAATCCATGAAGATTGCTTGTCCAGCCCTTTGTATTTGCTGAAAAGAACCAGCTACCAAGAACTTCCTTCGGAATCCAATTTTGAAGGACATTTTTACCTTTAAAAATCCCGAGTGGTGGAAGAATGGATCCATCCGCACAAATACACTCTACCATTGAAATCCACTCTTGACGGCCTGGATGTGCTTGATGTTTTGTACGAAGTGTAGAATCGATAATAATTCGAGTTGATTCCATTGTCCCAATTGAATGTCCAGATTCATCCATATTATATTCGTCTTTCTTCTCAATTCCATAATCCTGAATCGCTTTTTGATACGCGTCAAACCAAGTACTACATGTTTCCCTGGTTGCACCATCCATTCTTACAGATTCAATTCGACGGCCAATAACAACTGTAAGATGAGGATGTCGTTTGATAAATCGTGGAACCCATTCATGACCAAGAAGGTGTTGTGGTGGGAGTTCAAGGGAGTCAAATGAGGGGCAATCCAAATTATAAGTCCGTTTTGAACGTAACTCCTCAGCCAATTCTTTTAACAACTGATGGCCTGGTGAATAGCCGCTAATTGTCAATTGCTTTATCCACTTAAGAAGTACATTCTCTTGTACAGCAGAAAGTTTCTGTTGCGATTGACGTGCTTCAGAACGCGATGAACCCCCTTTGACGCGTCGCGTCACAGTATCTTTAGAAAGCCCCAGTTCTTTTGCAGCTTCATATGAAGACTTATACTTTCCATTTTGAACTCCTAATACTGCTTCAGAAAGTCGAGATTCCATTTCCTGCACTTTTAAACTTTTTCGACGGACCATTGTTGAATTGTTGCTTTTTTGATGGGGTGGTCCCCCACAATTAGACGCATTACGCCATGACTTACGTTATCGTTGCAATTATGTCTTATTGATATACGATCTCCGTGACTTTGTAGATTGATAGACAGGAAATTAGGTAATCACTTAAGGGGAGAACCATCTAGGTCCGGTGTCAAGCTTGAAGATGATCCGTTAGTGTGCTTTGTAATATCTGATCAAGATCCTCCCCCCAAACTAATAATCCGCATAGCATCGCGTAAATAGTTCGTATTCTGTTGACAGAACAAAACGAAACTGGAGGCTTGTAATCAACTAGAATATAAGACCTTACGATGAACTTGCTATCTGGGGGCAGTTTTCCGAAGTATTCGTTTTTGACCAACCTATACTCATCAAAAAAGAAAATATACACCAAGAATATAATAGTTTGAATACTCAAAGATTTGATATATTTTAAGCTGAACTGTAATAGCGCTGTGCTATCTACAATACAGTTATCCCCCATGTATCCCCTAGTAACCCTCACACACAACTTACTGCGGAGGTGTTGCATTTTTAGAATCTGTCGAATCATTTGGTGACGAGATTGTGTAGGAATGTTAGGGGTGCTTTTGGAAGGGCGCGGGTAATCAAGTTTTGAAATAGCTTTGGAAAGTGTTTCAATTTTGCCTAGGATAAGGGAATTGGTAGACTGGAGTTGGTGGGTTGCCTCAAACAGGTACTTGAGTGCCTCCTCACATAGGTGTTTAGCAGCCTCTTCTTTCAAAGGACTAAAAATAACCTCGACCGAAAGCTTGATTGTATCCATCGCCTTGAAATATTGGTAAATAACCCCTGGCTGCTCTCTTTGTATCAGCCTGCTTTTTTTGCCTCGCATTCCCAAACTGAATGGCCAGATTTCTTGCAGTAATGGCAAAGACCCAAACGAAGTTCTCTTTGTCGTTGCTGTTTCCTGTTCTGTGTACGGAATGTATCCAGCTTCGTGGAGTCATTGGGGGTGGGTTGAGTAGATGTGGAAGCAACGAATGGGCGAGGATAAATCACTTTAGTAGGTGCGCCATTGTAGTATTCATACTCCCGACAATTTTGATACCAAACTTGAAATTTCCTTTTCCAACCATCGAGATCGTCGTTAGCACATGGATTGCCATCCCTCAAAAACATGAGCCGCAACTCCTCCGTGACTTTTTGTTTCATCGCTAATACCATTCCTTGGGGTGATTTGTAGCAAGCATTACCGAGGTATTCCAATTGTGCATAGAACGCCAAAAAACCCTGTTTCCCTTGCATCTTGAGTTTGTCGAATTGAAGTGCTGCCTCGCGTTCACTTTCGACTGAAATATGGAAACTGTCGAGCTTCTCGAAGAACAATTCGGTGGTTGTGTATGCTGATTTATCTTGAATAATATCATCAATATCCTTGCGTTGTTTTTGGCGTGCTTTGCCTTTGAGCAAAGAGACCATGTGAAAAAGCTTCTTCCTCTCGGTATCGAGAGCTGTCGAGTCAATAGCCCAGCAAAACTGTAAGTCTTGCTTCCAGGCACAATACTCGTCCTTTCGTGTGAGAGCGCTTACAGTTTCAGCCTTGAATGGTTTTGGATTTTTAAAAGTTTGGCGTGGTTGGTAAGGGTGTTTCGATTTTGTTGTTATATCAGGTACTTGGGAAAGCTGAAGCTGCTGATTTGCAATCATCTGTACTTGTTCTCGTGATTGAATCTCTAGTGCATGTCGAGCTGCTACCTCATTTTGTAATTCTGCGTCGAAATTCTCCCGAATCGTGTGATAAGCATTTATTAGTGAATTGTTAATTGTGTTGCACACATGATTAAAAAAATGCTTGCGCCTCTCCCGGTAACCGAGAGACTAGAGATGGGTCTCTCAATCTTTCATCAGCGACGTGTAAAAGCTCATGAGCTAACCGTGGCCAGTCTGCAAAAACGGTTCGAATATGATTCCTCAAACCTTGGGGTGTAGAAACATCCGCTGGAGTGGTCGACGGGGGTTGAAATGTATGAGCCATCTTTGAGAATGAAGGTTGATAAAACACAAAAATGAGGATAATAGCAACGATGACAATTATGGGTAGTGAAAAAGGCGAAGAAGAGAGCGAAAATGATGGCGAAGATAAAAAACTAGAATGAAGACGAAGACGACGACGAGAAGGACTTTCAATTTTAATCGTATTATTTCCAAGCTTTTAAGATGAGATTGCTACAGTGGCAATGGGACCTTTGTTAAAGGTAAAATAAGCTATCACCTTCCAGAATATAGACCGTGATTGGAGATGTAATATTCTACAAGGAGAGAAGAAGGTACTAGGGAGAGCGCCAAATGTATAGACGTGGATACCTTAGGCATCCGCATTAGGCAAATCTAAGCTATGAACTAGTGACAAAAAGCTTCGAATAATTTTCGGGACTTTCAGGGCTTAAGCCTATAATACAGACCATTCAGCGTCTCGTTCACTTTCTTGACATTGCCCTCAATTTTTCGTTGCAGCGTTCTTCATTATAACATCTAAGAGACTTGCTACCATATTTAGTCTCCTTCGCCTTCGATGCTCGTAGCCGAAGAGCAGTTATCGGCCACCTGAACGACTAAAATATGATTAATAGACTCCCGCCAATTGTCTGTATTGCTGTGCGATAATGGTACCTGCACGGTCGATCTTGTATAGAATATCTAGGAGTAGATACAGTAGGGCTGTATTTACAAGCTGAAATCTCGGCAATAATAATTTTGAGTATAAAGTAAATCCTCGACTAATCGCACCGTATAGGTTGAAGCTGGTGCCAAGCGAGAGATTATGCGAGCGATGGCTCAATGGGCGAAATTAGAGAAGTCTCTTTTTATTTTCAGATTCGACATGAATCATCAACAATAGGATTGAATATATCGAGGACTCTTCAGATTCGATCGAGCGATAATTTAGCCTGACGATGTCGTCGATCACCACAATGCCACGTGGATTTCACGTGATAAATTCCGATCGGCATCACTGATCTGCATCCTTTAGTTCCCATTATGATATTGATAACACCTTTTGATAACCTAGGTGAGGCCGTCCTCTGCGATATCATCTCTTACTCTCTGTCTTTTCATTAATCAGTCCTCCTTGCCTCGAGCTGAGCAGGCTTTTCGTGCACTCCAAATCATCACTGAAACAATCTTACCCAATTGCAAAAAAACAATTTTGACTCGTGGATGAACAATCGAAGTACAAAAAGGTTGATTGCTTTTGGTGAGCACAGGATTTCGTTCAGCTCTTGTCTCGACAGCTTGCTATCATGTCCTTGATCTACTCTACGCTCGGACCCATGCAGCAGCTGAAGATATAAAGTTCCCCGCGTTGCCAAAAACAGTTCGACTTTCCACCATTAACCTGCCAGGATCTGTGGATTAGAGTGCGGTACTTGTACATCCAATTGATTATCTCCACGAGAAGGTTTAACCGACATACGATGACTCGACGAAAAGGGCTGGAGAGACAGGAGACGGTTTGTCTTGACAGAAAGTTCGACTCAAGATAGTTCGAGGCCGTTGCCACCGCTTGTTTCTCATGATTCGACCTGGCTACTACATAGAGAGTACAATTTGATCACACTACATCAATAGCATTCCGACGTATTCCACGCGGCATCAATATCTACCAAGAGAGATTAGCTACCTTGAATTCGTGTGTAATCGAATCCATCCTTGGAGATAAACCTTATCACATCATGATAACCGTACAGGCCCAATAACATTTCAGCATAGGATCACTATCACCTACCTCAAAATGGTAGATTAAATGCAGGAAATTGCTTCTACATTGGTCCTAACTTATCCTGCTGGCTGGTCGTACCGACTGATTGGGATAGCCGTCCCTGTGTCTCATCACCCCCGCAGATATCTCCCAATAAATTACGGAGCCCTCGATAGAGAATTATATATTGCGCATGAATCCATCCCAATAACGATATTCGGTCACTCTTTCGTATTGTATGCTAAATCGTGAATCTCTTGACCTCAGAATATCAGGTACATAGGCTTCCAAGTATCTACGAGAACGAATACGATAATGATTGACGAGGAAAAGAAAACCTCGTCGACAACTTCTCCACCGGATTCCAATGAGCTGGATAATCTCGAAGCTCTTGGATATACCGAAGAGCTTCAACGAAACCGATCGTTGTTTACTCTTCTTTTTCAATCGCTTGCAATTGCCGCAATACCTTATGGAGAAGGTGGGCCGCTGATTAGTGCTATATATGGAGGAGGTCAGCTTTCCATATTTGTTGGCTGGATCGTGGTTCTTATTCTAGATGAATGTGTGGCTTTATCATTGAGTGAACTAGCCTCGAGGTATCCAACCTCGGCTGGACCTTACTATTGGTCTTTTCAGGTGAGAAATCTTTTGATTATTCTTGATTCTCTGGTCAAGTTCTACAGACTTTGATGAAGTGATATCTACCAAATTCTTACTAATAGAGTATGGAATCATGATTCTTGATCATGGCTAACTTCTGATAATCTTAGGTAGCAAAGAGACACAAGACCATACTCTCGTTTATCACAGGTTGGGTATGGCTCATTGGAAATTGGACAATCACATTATCCGTCAACTTTGGATTTGCTTCGCTGATATCTGCAACTGTTGCTATGTATCATCCGGATTTTGTTGCATCTAGCTGGCAGCTTACTCTCATATTCTATGCCATTTGTCTCATCACACTAGTAATATGTACATTTGGCAACCGATTCCTCCCTATGGTTGATACAATATGCGCTGCTTGGACGGCCATTAGTATCCTCATCATTCTCATCGCTCTTTCAGTCTCAGCAAAAGAAGTTCGACATAGTGCTAGCTATTCTCTTGGAAATTACGATACCTCTTTCGCTGGATGGGGAGGCTTCACTTTCTTCATCGGTCTTCTACCAGCTGCGTATACCTTTTCTGCAATTGGCATGATCTCCTCGATGGCAGAAGAAGTTTCCAACCCCGCGATCAAAGTCCCAAAAGCAATAGCACTATGCGTTCCTGTTGGCGGAATAGCTGGTCTGTTCTTTATCGTCCCTATCTGTGTAACGATGCCACCTCTCGCTGATGTCATTGGTGCACCTAATGGTCAAGCGATCCCGTACATCTTTCACAGGGTCATGGGCTCTCCCGGAGGCGGCCTAGGTCTTACATTTTTGGTACTTAGCATTACTATGTTCTGCTCAATTAGTATCACAACCGCCGCATCACGCTGTACCTGGGCATTCGCTCGCGACCAGGCAATTCCCGGCTCTAAAATTTTCTCAGTTGTCAACAAATCTTTAGGTGTACCAGTAAATGCTCTCATATTTGTCACTATTGTTCAAATGCTCCTAGGTCTCATCAATCTCGGCAGTAGCAGTGCCTTTACTGCCTTTGTTTCAGTAGGCGTCATAGCACTTTCACTTTCGTACGCTATCCCAATTGGCTTATCATTACTATGGAATAAAAGACGAGAAGTATCTCACGCACGTTGGAACTGCGGGCGTATGGTTGGAACAACTGTGAATGTCGTGGCCTTGGTATGGATTGCATTTGAGGTGGTTTTGTTCAGTATGCCAACAGCATTACCTGTTACAAAAGTGTCAATGAATTATGCAAGTGTGGTGTTAGTGGGCTTTATGGCAATAGCGGCAGTTTGGTATGCTGCTTATGCTAGGAAAGGTAAGTTCTGCCTTGAGATTTGAGCTTGACATTTACTAACGGAGCATAGTGTACAAAGGACCACCAGCTTCAGATGGGTTGTGAGAATTCTTCCATGACCTGCACTGATTTAACATTTATCTTTCTTTTGAATTCTTGTTTTCTTAGAGCTTTCCTACGTATATGGTTTTTCGCTTTGCATATATTCTTTTCTACGTATGTAATAAATGAGCTTTGTATCTATCCCATAATATTATTGACATTCCTAAGCGAAAGTCCCCGTGTCTTCTAGTAAGTCGGGTACCCTACTTTCGGGCCACTTTTTACACTAAAAATGGAATTTTTAACTTTCTTATTTATGAATAGAATTTATTGAAAATTTATATATATATAATTTAAGTCATTTTAAGCTTACCTTGAAAATTTCAGATTTTTAGGAATTTTCTGTATTGAGATCTAGAGCTTTAAAATATCGATTTTTAAATTTGTATAAGAATCATATACAAATTTGAAACTTTTATAAAATCTTTAATAACTTTTTAATAAAAATTATTAAAAATAAACTATAAAATTTTACTATAAATTTATAACATATTTATTTTGAAGGATTTAGAAAAAAAAGAAAATTTCCTATAAATAGATATTTAAAAGAATACCCTCAAAATTACAGGGATTATTTATACTATTTTAAACTCACTATATACTATATCTCTATATTTATTAATTTTTTTTTAATTTTTTTTTTAATTTCTATATAAATTTAAATTCAAAACTTTCAAAAAGATATATAGTTTTCTTTTAATAATTATTATTAAAAAGTTATTAAAGATTTTATAAAAGTTTCAAATTTGTATATGATTCTTATACAAATTTAAAAATCGATATTTTAAAGCTTTAGATCTCAATACAGAAAATTCCTAAAATTTTCCAATTTTCAAAATAAGCTTAAAATGACTTAAATTATATATATATAAATTTGTAATAAATTAGATTATATATTGATAGAGATATTAATAGGCTAAAAAAGCGATTTTTAGTGTAAAAGGGTGGCCCAAAACAGAGGTGGCCCGAAAGTAGGGCGGTCGACTTAATACTTCACTTTTGATCTCCATTCTGCTTACTGATCACAATAACAATGTTCTATCACTTATTAGCTTTTTCATTCAATATGAATTGAAAATAGATTCTAGAGCTTTTTCGTCTAAAAGAAACCAGCCGAATATTCAGGAAGCTTTAAAATCCCTTTTGCCTTTTCTATTTGACGCTATGTCTCTCGCTCAGTGTTCCAATATTCCTCAAATATGAACAACTTCCAATACTTTCGGCCTAATCCGTGAACACTGCTGCAATCAATACCTCAATTGTCGAAACAATGTCAGCTCGAACCTCTCCCTAGCTTAGTGTCACAGGCAATGAACTAGTTAGGTCAGTGGTTATTCTTGGGGTTTGTATCCAAGCCAAATGGGGGCTGACAGCTTCTGAAAGTCCTCCAAGTGATCATCATGCCGAGTTCGATGAGATAACAGAAGCAGAACCTCCTAAAAAAGTCATCGAGCACCAGCACCAGCACCTGTTCCCACAAAGAAAAATTCTGGAGCATAGGCAAAGGCAAAGGCAAAAGGGACAACAGCCAACCCGACGGAGTGCGCGAGTCGAACAACAGCAAGGACAAGCGAAATTACAGCCCAATTTGCAGGCGGTAACTAGTGGAGGTAGACGAGAGACGCGAACCCGAAAGCTAAGCCAACAGGGGAAAGAATCCAATTATTTAAAGAGAGAGCATGCGCCAAAAAAAAGACGGAACAGCGAACCGATTTTATTCAACAAGATGATGTCCAGAGTCAGAAGCGGCCAGCGAGTATTGAGAAGGTTCTTGAGATGAGATATTTGCATGCTTGTTTTGAGAAGTAACATGTATTTTGAGTAGTGTTTTGGGATGGCTGATTGGAGTATTGTTTACGCGAGGTTGTTAGGGAGTTATCTTTTCAAGGAGTGATGGGTAATTGATCAATATACCATTTCATTTATTCTCACTCCCTACTTTGAACGTATTATTTAATGTAGTTTACGTATAAGACCTATGTTTGTCTGAAACTTTTAAACAATAAAACACCATATCTGAAGCCCTCTCAAATTCGAATGTTCGAACCACCAAGCAAGTATCTCTAAGTATTTCTGTTTTCATTGCCCTCCCTATATCTTCTCGCAAGTCTCGGCTCTTAGCTACATCTAAGTAAGATTAGGGCAAGTTGTAATAGTGATGATGTCCAATAGTGATGATGTCAGCGAGCTATCGATCTTGGGAATAGTGCTGTGGGGTCATTTTTGAAGACCGCCCCACCCACTTTGCTGAGTCTTCATCGTGAAACATTTGTGTTATCATTTGAACGGATAAGACACTTGTTCCAATGAGCTTCTGTTTCTTTCGTGTCGCAGACGTCTTGTAACGGGGTTGAGCTCTGGTTCTTTGAGTCGCAAGGTGACCTTTGTGCAAGAAGCGCATTAAAGGTGGATATTTGCTCCACTTTTGCCCCGCTGTCACATAGACGACATCTCTTCCTTCGCACAAAATATCTCGTCTTCATTTTGATACAACACAACACTTTCTCAAGTCTGCGACGTCTGTCTTGAAGCCAAATTGCGAATGACCGCTGATTTCGAAGTCGTAATCATGAGCGCGAATCCCATCGTGTCGAAAACGCCAGGACTCATAAAGAGTGGCGAAATATCCCTTTTTTATCCGATCTTCATTTGCGCTCCTGTGATCTTTTGTCGTTTTCAATTTCCGTCATTAGGAAAACATGTCGTCGTTCAATGCCGAGACCGTAGCGATGCTGGCACATGTAGTTCTCAGGTATGGATCGAAGAGCTAGAGAACGCGCATGTGTATGTCATTTAGCATCTACCAGATTTGGGAGAAGTTAGCCATAAAGCTCGATTTCAAGCTATATGTTCTATCGGAGCTGCAGAAACTGTCTCGCAGGGTGAGATTGCTGAAAGTGCCCTGATTGAAGCAAGCTCTGGAATATACGTCACCTGTTAGTTAAAGGTAACATCAACCAACTATCTTATATATCATCTAAAGGTATCTCCTCAATTGTTGTTAGATACATCCCAGTGCTGCAGTCGTCTTATTACAATATCATTCTCCCAACTATAGCTCCTTCCTCATTAGGCACATGAACTGCTAGATAAGGGAGTAATCTCATCTAGAGACTAGCGGAAATCACTTAACCCTTACACCGGTTTATCTTCATAACTACCATGTGATTTGAATCGTTTGACTCGTGTGTTTACTTTTTTCTATTATATCTACATTTTAATAGGCTATATTTTATAGCTACCTGTTGAATATAGCCATCGCCCCTTCCATCCTTTCCACGATGACGGAATTCGTGTCTACGCGTCGCGTATTCTATCGGCGAAATCTTCCGTTAGGGCATTTAGGGTTTATATTCCGTATCATTACTGGTTTTGCCCTCTCGGTTAGTTAAGAACAAAAGTCTAAAGAGTCACTTTTAGAGAATAAGTGATAGATTCTCGCCAAAAAAAACACGCCAATTTTCGCACTTGTGAAGACGCGTGGGAAGATTAATATATCTGTTGTTCTAATTTCTGTTCCTCGATTTTCTTTTTCTCTTTCTTCTTCGTACCACTCTCACATACTCACACTTTACTACAAGCTCACACATTTACAATGTCTCGCTTTCACTCTTCTTCTTCCACTGGCAGTGCTCCTGGGGCTGCCAGTTCCAATTCTACAAACATGTCGGCCCCTCGCGGTCGTGGGTATCAAGTTCCACAAACCTCTAACTCTCTCCGTCCCCCACCCATCCAATCTCTCCACGTCCCATACGTGTGTGACCAACCAATGGAACCCTCTTTGGATCCTTCAAACATCCATCCACCATCTAACAGGCCTGGAAACCTATCTTCTTCCACAACTTCAGCCTCTACGCAGGCCATAAAAACCAAAAAAAAATCTCCTTTGTCATTGTGTTTGCTTTCTTCTTCTTCTGCATCTTCATCTTCATCCTATTATTCAGATTCCTGTGGATCTTACGAGTCGATCGATTGGTCGGCTCTTGAGATCAAACTTCATCCCATGGCCCCTAAACGCTACAAATCCCCCACGATGTATTCTGACTCCACCCAGGAGGAACATACATCCTCTAACTTCAGCACCGGATCCAGCGATCATTTCCCCATTGGCTCACCTTGCATCAATGTAGGCCCTCTACTTGATGTCAAGGCCCCTCCTCCCAGGCCCTACGTCACTGACGACACATCGGACTCCTTGGATTATCCCATTGCCAAGGCTTCTCCCAGACCCTTCTTAGATGACCCCTTTGCCCCCCCCTCCGGACCTAGGATCTCTACCCCTCCCCTCAAAAAAAGGTTTATATTCCGTGAGGCCACGCCTAGTCCAGGCACCACCCCATCTTCCAAGGATTCCTTCTCAGCCCACCACACTGTCTCCACTTCCTTTGGATCTCCTTCCATGGCCTCAGTTTCCTTGGCCCCCTCAAATGGCCATTCCTGTTCCTCTTCTGTCTTTGCAGAAGATGGTTCAAACCCTCCTTCTCCTCCCCCCCAGCTACCTGTAGTACACATGCAGCCCCGCTTGTTCAGATTAGCCAGACCCAAAACTTTCACTCAGCTCTACCTGCAGCAGCCCCGCTGCTTCAGGCGAGCTAAACCCAAGACTTTTACCCAGCGGTGGTCAGAAATGATCCTTGAAGAGCAAGTCCTCGAATCTCGAGCCCACATCATCACACCAGTTCGACCCTTGAGTCAAAGTCCGATGGCAACATCAGACTCTGGTTGTGAAATTGTCGCTCAATCTCCTTTGTCAGATCCCTTCTGCTTATCCCGAGAGCCCAGCTCATCCCCGGACCCCATTCTTTCCACAGAGCCCATCCCATCCCCGGAGCCTGTTCCCTCCCCTAGTCCCCAGGCCATTCCCAGGAGAAACATTGGTAGGTTCCACGATGCACGCCCATTTTCATCCTCATCCTCATCCGAGGATGAATCAGACACCACCGCAGATTACCCCTCCTCCCTAGGCGACGACCCCTTGGACACTCCGGAGCCAGAGACCATCCCATGGACCATTGCCCCAGTGCAATCCTGGATATTCCGGAACGCCTCGACCATCAAAACGGTCATCAAATGGACTCTTGTTGCAGCCGCAATAATCCTTCCAAAGATCCTTTGGAAATGGTAAATGGAATCACCCCCGCCGCCCTCCCTTCCCCCATGCAAGTGAACTAACAAGCCAACTAATCACTAATCACTAACCCCAGCACCCTGAATTTTTTTGACTGAAAGTAATGAAAAGATACACACATAAATCACCCTGGACTCCTGGACCCTTGGACACAAACGCAAGTATATCCCCCCCCTCCTCGCTAACTACTAATCTAGGTGGCCAGAGATGATCCACGTCCTCGTCGTTCTGGCTGGAAACCCTCAAGTGAGGGGCTAACGGATCAACCCCACTCATTGCTTTTGAACTTTTGGTAAGTTTTGCGCCTTTTTCAGATTTCTTGATTATACGCTAACTTTTTTTCTCCTATTTTTTTTTTGGCGAACAATGCAAGGAACCGTCGCAAATATTTGGAGAATCGCTGTGCTTGGATTTGTGGCCTCAATATCATGGGATCAGATCAGCGAGATCAAGTGGTGTGGTAATCAAAATGTGGATTTCATATTTCGATTACGAGCTTGGTAATCTGTCAACAAGACAGAGATGTGGAATATGAAGGCTGTAGCTAGAGATAGAATGTAAGCGAGGATGAGAAGAGTAGCAACGATGTAACAAGAGATTAGGGTAAACACAAGAAAATCTTATATCAAGTCTAGAGAGCATGTGCGAGAGCTACAGTTTCAGAACCATCAGTGAATGCGCGGCTAAGAACTCAAATCAGATACTGTTTTGTCCTTGTTTTGTTGAATTTTGTCATTATGTGGAATACTGATCTTTTAGTTACATTTTCCCCGTCATCGTTGCATTCCCTGCGTTCTCCCAATTTTCTCAAAATTATCCAGTCTAGCTCGTTGTTCCTATTCTATCACCTTTTCTATGTTCTATTACACCCGCAATTTATCTGCATTCTCAATACTAAACCCACGCTCCGAGTGTCGGTGAAGTCCTTTACCCATTTGCCACTGCTGAGATCATTCTCGAAGTAACCAAGCCATAGTTATCATAAAGAGTAACAATTGTCTAAATTAGTTGAGTGTATATCTCCATGCTTGTCTACCTTGGCGCCTCTATAACAAAATCAACAGATTTCAGATTTCATTACCATGGGCCAAAATTCCAGTAATACTCAACCCTCAAACTTGTTCCGGCGGCGCACTGAAACTATTAAACCACTCCACTATCGCCTTCGGTGCATTATCCTCGGATATTTTCTCCAGGTTCGTCCATGTATCTTCAGCATTTTCTTTCGCCCTTACAAACATTTTCATCTCGTACTCCTTCACAGCATCCGAAATCGAAGTTTCCTTCTTCCCAGCCGAGATGATTCCTTGCGCCAACTCTAAAGCATCTAACATTGCCGAATTGACCCCTTCTCCAGCAAATGGCGTCATAAGATGTGCCGCATCTCCAACTAATGTCGCGTTGGCTTTATGTTCCCACGTGTGACCAGTAGGTAACATACACAGCTGTACAAACTGCGGGATTTTTTCCTCATCCAACCCTCTTTCTAGCAACTCCCTGACTCCTCTGCCAAAATTGGCAAAGGTACCATATTCGCCAAGAGTTTTCTCTTTGAGCTGCTCAAGGTCTAGAGAATTTAAGCCTGCTTCGTTGCAATAGTTGATATCTTCGTTCTGTATCCCAACATACACTCTTGCTGAATCCATCGAGCCCCTCTGACTCAAAATAAATCTCTTTCCACCCAGCGCCCAGAAAGTTCCAGTTCCAACCATCTTAGCTATTTCTGGGAATCTCTTGGTGATATTTGGAATCGTCAACATCATCCAATGCACACCACTAAAATATGGTTTCACGTCCGTCAAGAGTGGGCGAACCTTTGACCATGCTCCATCTGCTCCAATCACCAGATCACAAGCATGAGAACTCCCATTTTGGAATATGATGGTTTGTTGCTGGGGATTTGAAGGATTTGGAGAAACGGATTGGATTCTATGTTCCCATTGAATGACATTTCCAGGAAGTGAAGACACAAGCAATTCGATCAAACTGTTCCTTGAAATTTCAGGTCGCTCTTCATTATGGTTGGGAGCCTCGAATTTGATGTCTCCAAAACGATCACAGATGATGTGTTCTTCGCTGCATTCTGCGGTGAGTGAGCGGAATGCTTGGAGAAGCCCACATGCTGCGAGTGCGCGTTGTCCTGATTCCACATGAAGATCTAGAGAGCCGGATGGAACATTGACAAGATCTGGAGAGGGACGAGATCTGAGATCATAGATGGTGAATGGTATCTTATTGCGGTGAAAGAGAGAGGCGAGGACTAGGCCGGATGGCCCTGCACCGATAATGGATATTCTTGGAAGCATGGATAGATGATTGAAGGCGTTGAAGTATATGTCGCTTTCAAGCTGTGTTTGGTTATTCTGGTCTGACTTGACAGAGTGAAATAGATTCAGTACTGTGGTCGACTTATATATGTTCTCTAACTTCTAAGTAACTAGCCCCATATTTAGGCCGGCACGATCTCGTGCAATGCCTTGTATGAGTTACTACCCATGCTATATGATTTAAGAAGCCTCGGGCTATTCGAGCCATTCAATAGGTCCCGACTGAGAAACGTAATTGCGGAGTTCCCCAAAGAAATACTTTAACGGGTTCCGAGAAGACTTCGGGTCCGTCTAACTCCCAAGATTGTGACTTGGAGCGTTACGCTGAACACATCAGACAACCGATATTTAATGATTATAGCTATTTTTAAAGAAGTCTGAACATAAATACTCAATGGGATATGTCAAAACTCTCGAAACTATGAAACGTCACTGTAGCAGGAGTATAGTGAGGGGTAAACAAGAATTACTACTTCGGCACATAGGGGAGACTGTCACCCTTATAAACGCAATCACTGTAAACTTTAAGAAACTTACCAATATTGTGTCCTAATTTGGTGAGATTTGATCGAGAGCTTGATGCTATCCTAATTCCTCGCCGTGTACTCCTTGAGTTGTTGATTTTTGTCTACATACGTGATTCAAAAACTGCTGTGGAATGAATGATTGGCAGATGCTGATAAGCCCGATTGAACCTCGGCTCAGGGGTCGAGCATACAACCACCGCCATGACAGTATCATCTGGAATCGAAATACTTTGTGAGACAATGCGCATTGCCAGGCTGAATATGTGAGTCAATTAGGACATTGGTATCTCACATTAGCGACAATGACAGGAGCACCACCATTGACAGGAATTCGCGTTCTGGAATTCGCAGGCCTAGCTCCAGGTGAGTACCCCCGCATTACCCCAGATTCCATTGCATCCCCATTAACATCAATTGTAGGACCTTTTGCAGGACTTCTTCTAGCAGATTATGGAGCATCAGTCCTACGTATCGATCGCGCAGTTCCTAATCTCACCCATTCTTCCTCAATTCCTCCACCAACCTCCGATCTCCTTACCCGACACAAATCCTCTATTGCAGTTGACCTCAAAGCAAATGCGGGAATATCCTTCGTCAAGTCTCTGGTTGCGCATGCTGATATCATAATTGATCCATTCCGGCCAGGGGTTTTGGAAAAACTGGGACTCTCACCAGATGTTCTCCTCAATCTCAATCCTCGTATCATTCTTGCCCGAATGACTGGGTTCCGCCGTGACGGGAAGTACAAAGATATGGCCGGGCACGATATCAACTACATAGCAGTTTCAGGGGCATTATCACTGCTTGGGCGTAAAAATGAGAAGCCATTACCACCGGCGAATATACTTGGGGATTTTGCGGGAGGAGGAGCTACGTTGTTTCAGGGAATTTTACTCGCCTTGCTAGCGCGAGAGAAGAGCGGAAAGGGGCAAGTTGTGGAAGCGAATATGGTCGATGGGAGTGCATATCTTGTAACGTTTCCGAGATTGTTGATGAAGACTCCTATGTGGAATAACCCGAGAGGAGAGAATACATTAGATTCGGGGAGCCCGTTCTACGATACCTATGAAACAAAGGATGGGAAATACATGGCGGTGGGTGCTCTGGAACCACAATTTTTTAAAGAGTTGGTTAAGGGGCTAGGATTAGAAGAGACTGACATTGAAGAGACGAGAATGGATAGAAGTACATGGCCAAAAATGAGGGAGACTTTCACCAGATTATTCAAGGCCAAAAAGAGATCTGAGTGGGAGACCATTTTCGATGGAACTGATGCGTGTTGTACACCTGTTCTCGATTATGGTGAACTCTAAAATGACACCGACAGAGAAGGTGATCAAAGACCGATCGTTACACTTAGAGAGACACCGTCTCTCGCAATATCTAAACATAATAGTCAGGACCCATCAATTGGCCAAGGCCCTGGCGTTGAAGGAGGAAGTTACACCGGCAAGCCATTATATCCTGGACAAGGTGGGGAGACAACAATCGAGCAATGGCTAGGATGGAAAAGAGGAAAAGACTATGATATTGAAAATGGTGGTTTGGTTATGAAGAGCCATTCGAAATTATGATCCACCATTATATCCCATTTCAAACACCTCGACTCTCTTGTTCATTACCACTGCCTCCGTTATCATTCTAGAACACCCCAAACACATGTCTATACTCCGACATTCAGGACCAGAACCAGAATCAGAACCAGAACCTCGAGCCGTCCCCGCCTACCATCCTTATACCAACTCCGTTTCCATATCCCGACCACCGATGATATGCCCCCAAGCGAATGCAGCAAATTTGTAGCTCGACAAAACTCCAGCTTAAGCTTCGAACGCAGAACTCCCTTAAACAGAGATTAGTTCAATGTTAACCAAAATGAGCCATCATGAAGTGGACTTACAACTCAAATCCTAAAATCATCATCATCTAGCTCAATAAGCATTGACGGACTTGGAGGTGGATTTGGAGGAGGAGATGGCGGATCATCTCTTGACATGTTTGATGCCGAGACAAGTTCGACCTTTTGACAACGAGATATACGTCGGTGAGGTGCTCGGACTTGTGAAGCTCCGAGTGATAGAGCTGGAGGAGCAGCTTTACGCTGACGCTGCTGAAGACGCGAAGAGGAAAGATTTGCTTGAGCAATAGCCATCTTCCTTATCTGACCCGAAAGAAAGATTATGGAAAATGTATAGAAATCAAAGGAAAAGAATTTATCATTGATTCCGAAATTAGATGTGGATAAGGTTGGTTATCTCCCGTAAGAAGAAAATATGATGCTTAAAAAAGTAAAATCCAGGCAAGCAAGTCACTATCGGAGGATTACCTAGATGGAAGTTGAAAGTCTCTAAAAAGCACTTGGGGGTCAAGAAACCACTTTCTTTGCCGACCTTCTATTGTACTTAAATAGCTTGTGCTGTTCCTCCTCTCTTCTAGATCTATCACAAAATTGTCAAATGTTCCATGGGCGTCTTCGATACCCGCAAAATGCTTCGACCTGCGTTTGTCACACGGAAGCCCTGTCTAGACCCTACATACAACATAAACCGTACTCCCGACGGCTCTTGGAACCCTCGAGAGGACAGTGACATTCATTCGGTCTTGACCTCTGGTTTTCTAAAAAGTCATTTCCAATAAATAGATACTCGTTGAACGAAGCCTTCCAATTCTTGGGAATACACACACAGAACGCTCGCAATAATAACACAGCACACCGCAAGAAAACGAGAAAAAAAAGGAACACCAACAATCAATCCATCACCCGGGAAGCGGGCACCAGAGAAAATCCACGCGTTCCAGAAGCAAACATTCGGAAATGCGACAAATCACATTTCGCTAATCTCATTTTCTGGAATCCTCACCGCGCATAGGATAGGATAGGATAGATGAAAGAAAAGCAAGCGATATCGGGGAAGAGTCATCGCATCGCTTCGCATTGCATGAATGAATACTCAGTATGTCTGCATATCCTTCCTCACGAATTTTCAACCTACCAGCACCAGGATCGCTCATCTCTCTCGGCAGGTTGCACCCCTGATTTGTCTGCAAGTAATTGCATCTCTCGTCGCATTTCCTCGCACAAACAAACACCTCCTTCTATCTATCTATCTATCTACCCTTCGTATGTACGTACAAACACTTAAAGCCTCGCGAAGTACCGAAATTATGTCCCGCCATAATACCACCAGCACGGTACTCGTACACTTGTTGCTCCACACTCGTCCTCCACATATTCTCCACCATTCTCATTTCCAAAGACCCGGCCACGAAGTCCGTTAGTACCACATGTTCTCACAGAGAAAAAAGACACAAAGACACACATACACACACACTCTCTCTCTCTCTCCACATCTCCCACACCAACCGACCGCGACCCCCCCCCTAGCTCCCCCCCAAATAATCAAGCATCTCTCCAGCATTCCCGTGTCCCCGTATCCCCATTTCCTGTTTCCCGTCTGTATTCTCAAGAGATCTTGTGTACGATCTAGACATTCTCCCGATGCGCGGGTGTGACGTGCTTTCTATTATCTCGAATCGGTCTCTATCCCCCTTTCCCCGCAAATGTGCTTCATTTTGCAGGCGCAACAACCCCAGACACGGCAAGGCAAAGAAGGTTGTTCGGGGTTCGCGTTACATCCAACCAAATCTACGCAGCGATGTCTTACGGAAGGGAAGTTGATGAAACACTAACACTCGATACGAGCAAATCTTACGATTGTGTACGATTCCGCCGGTGTGGTAGCGCGAGCACGTCATGTTGTGTAAGGCCCCACATTCAATGCGCAAAAATCATTGGTAGGAATTAATTCTCTCTTTCTTTGCAAATGGGGCAACTAATCTAGATACTAAGTTATGTCCCTGAAACTAGTTGTAGGCACCAATAAACGAGGCGGAAAAAGATTGAAGAAAGAGAACTAGAGAGTTACAACCATTTCGCTGTAAACAACATTAAAGTCAAGCTTGCCATTCATTCATTCGCCTTATGCTTCCAAACCAAGATAGGTATTCTCGAATTGGTGTATTCTCGGTACGCTCTTTCCCTTCCATGTCCATCACCGCGTCCATGTATTCCACACATCATTATGCTCCACGCCAAAGAAAAGTAGGTATCGTATGTGGTTGTGAGATAGAAAAAACGAGTCTAAGGTAAATGGGCCAACACAGTACTTTGCGGCGAGTATCTAATTAACGTTTCTCGGTTGCTTCCCTGCCTCGGACTTTCTTGACCCGGAAGGGTCGCTGCATTCAATTCGGACAGTAGCTTTATTGTACTTGACTAACAATTTCGCTCGCCTTGGAAAGTGATTCAACCATTTGTTGACATTCCTTTCTTCTTCGAACGGTGTAGTCGCTTTCTTTCAGCAAATCATCAAGAGTATCGGTTCTGTACATGTTCTCGAGAAGCTCTCTTTGCATTTCATCCTTGGTGTATCTACAAAAGGTTAATTACATATAAATTGCGAATCACTCAGGGATTCTTACTGGACAAGGTTAAGCATAATGGCTTTTGGTACCATATCAATCATGGTTCGCTTTACGATGTTGTAGTACGAGTTGATGAGTAGTTCTTAAATGACTTAGCTATGACAACCGAAAGTGTGTTAAAATTAGACTTACTGATAATCTCAACTTCTGTGCCTTCTCTCTCTGACAAAGTTCCAGAGGCCTTAAGAATTGGTGGTGGGGCTTCCATGGCAGCCATCTTCTTCTTATTTTTGGAGGCAAAGAAACTTCCAAAGAAGCCTCCATTTTGTTCGCCCATTCCATCAAGCGTTGGGCTTGCTGTACGTGCAGGCGTTGATGGGATTGGCTTTCCTGACTTGGGGTCAACCTGGACGGGCTTTGCTGCATTATGTCTTTCACTAACAATAGCCATAGCCTGTGAAATTATTAGTACAAGTTGTAAAGTGATGAACATCAAACTTACTCTGTGACCGTTGAGGAAGTCGGGATGGCCGGTATTGATATAGCAAGATTCCATTGCCACTAAATCTTTTACGAGCTTATTGGCGGGATCCATGGCTTTCTTAAAGAATGCAATGACGACAGCATGGAATTTCTCCTTGAGTGAAGGATACCTGCGGAATAGCGGCTTGGCAAGAAGTTGAGTAAGGATCCTGACCAGCTCGTCGTATACCAACGAAGCGCACTTCAAACTGGGTTCTTCCAGGCGCTTAATTTGTTGTTTAACGATTAGTTCGAAAGCAGTGGTACCGACAAATAGTGCAGGGGAAGAACCAGAGGAGTTATATAGAATAGTTCTAATGTCAATATCCTTAACTTGATCAAACGGATCCACAGCCTTAACACCATTCGAATAAAGTTCGTGGAAGACGAAACTAATTCTAGCACCACCTGAAAGTTCGACACTAGAGAGCTCCTGGTTGTTACCCTCCAAGACTGTCCGCCATTCATTTGTGAATTCTGTAATGATATTGAGCACAATGTTTGCACTATTTCCAAGCATCGAATCTCCAAGACCTGCCAACTCCGCAGTGTACTTTTGTAACGAAGTCTGGATACGAGCCTTGATATCTGGGAGAGTTTGCTTAATGTGCATCATTAAGATGAGGTTTAGCTTTCTGGCGAGGTATGGAGTTCCGCAATATGTGCTCTTGTTCTTGTATGCTCGGTGGTTTTCGAAGAAGTTCTTTTCGTTTTCCAATGCTGCGGTAATCTGCTTCTTATTGTCGATATCCCTCTGACCTCTGTTGACAACTGGAACATAACCTAATCTCAGGGGAATAATTCTTCCAGCCAAAATGTCCACAACATCAGTTCCGTCATCCATCAAATCGACCTTTGTCAAAACACCAATAGTTCTTTGACCTTCTGGGTCAACTTCTCGCGCAAGCTTCAATCCATCGGAGTTGGCCAAATCGGTATTGGCACCTGTAACAGCAAGAATAATAGCGTTTGGTTTACTGATTTGCTTGAGAACCATCTCCTTAATCTGTCTTTCAATATCTCTTGGTTGATCTCCAACTGGAACCTTGGTCAAACCAGGCAAATCGACTAGAGTAAGCGTGAGAACATTTGGGGAGTATATGCGAAGATTGATAGGAGCTGGGGAGATTCCCGCATTTCGACCAGTTTTCGCCTCTGTTTCCTTCACAATCTCCTCTCTAATCTTATTGAAGTCATGAAACTTTTGCCCGGGAATATGAAGAAACTCGCCCCATTCATCAGCATTCGCTTCTTTATCACCGCCAGCGGCCAGTTCCTCCGAGTCCTTTACCCCGTTTGATTTCGCGGGAGCGGGTCGATTGATAAGTTGTAAGATAAGGGGTCGTCTAGTAACAATACCGGTTCCTCGAGGTAAACTGCGCATCATCATAGATTTAGCATATGTATAACACTGCGGATACGTACGTGGCAGACTCACAAGTCTCTCCCAACTATGTTTTCTAAGACCGAACTCTTTCCACTCGACTGACTTCCCACCACTGCGATTTGGGGAAGATCTATGGGATTTTGTACACCGACGGTCGTGAATACATCCTGAAGCTTATTCACCAATCTGCAACATTTGTTAGCTATACGGCGCAATGAAATACAGCTTAAGGAGGTCCCAACGTTATAAGACCGGGGTCAGAGATACCGCCTTGTGCGGCCATGATTGCGTATGAGTGATGATTTTCAAGGGAGATGGATAGTTTGAGGGTATAGCGAGATCTTTCGGCAAGCTTGTCACTTGTCACTTGTTGGGATTTTCTGGTTTGGGAAAATGGAAGTTGGAGAAGTTCCTCTTTTAGAATGCGACTCCTGTTGATATTCTGTTGTTTAGGCGTGCGAGGCCAACGTCCACGAGGTGAGGCTAGTAATATGGCCCGTGCTCAGATCCTCAGCAAGATGGATAACTACCTTTGGCTTGGCTTGGGTTTAGATTATCATATGAGTGTCAGTATCTTGAGGATAAAAGTCTGCTCGTTTTTGATAATTGCTGGTAAGAAGGATTGTTTGTTTTTAAGAGTGAGTAAACCCCAAGTGTCCAAGGACGCTCTATTAAATCACAAAATATTGAAATGCTTGAATGGATGAGAAGTCTCTGAAATCCAGTGGGGGCGCGGGGTTGATACCCAAGCCAAGGAGGGAGTAGAGGAGTCAGAAACAGCTCACATATATTAGGTACTTGTTAAATCATAGCAAAGACATTTACTCATCTATTGGTCTCTAGCGCAGTGAATTCTTCGTATGAAATACACAGCAAAGAACAAACAAGCCCATTAGCTTCGTCATCACCCTTACGACGCATACTCGCCAGAGCATTAGGCATCTGTATATCATAGAAGACAAGCACGTGCCCAACCCCCTTTCCAACATTTACGAATACGCGGATAACTTCCACCACCCAATCCCACCATGTCGCCCAGAATCATCACTGTCATCGGATCTCTCAATACCGACCTCGTAACGCTTACCCCCCGCGTTCCCACTGGCGGCGAAACTTTAACCGCGACCTCCTTCAGTACTGGTCCTGGTGGAAAAGGTGCCAATCAAGCTGTGGCATGTGCTCGTCTTTCAAGACCCAATCCCGCTTCCGCTCCATCTCATACTAGCGATGTTTTCGTCAAGATGATTGGTGCTGTTGGTGATGATGAGTAGGTCTTTTATTTCTCCTTTACAAAGAATCGCAGTACAATTCCCTATTTTACATACATGCCTACAAATGGGGTTCTCTCATTCTGTTATCTTTACTTCCAAGTCAAGGACTTGATGTAAGGCTTCTATTCTCGACTCTTTTGCTGTACGATTGGTTTTATAGTACCAATTGTTGTTCGTTGAATAAAAAAAGTACAAGCTCGAACAGTAAAAGAACGGGCTATTTTTATGCTCCACCATTTTTGACAGTTCAAGCGAATCAACAAAAGGACATACAATAGATAACGACAGAGAAGAAATCCCTCCATCGTCCAAAATTATCAGATTTCCCCAGTCTCCTCAACTCAATTTATAAAATATCTAATCACTCCCATTTTCATATTCGAACCCCAAAGCATTCCACATCAATTCCTCTCCCAAACCCTCAACCCTCCAAACTCCACAAACTAACACCCCCCAAGATTCGGTCCCTCCCTCATCTCCTCGCTCAAAGAATCTCTCATCGACACAGCTTCGATCGAAACCATCCCCGACCAATCCACCGGCGTAGCAGTAATCCTCGTAGAATCTGACAGCGGCGAGAACCGTATCCTACTCTCTCCAGGTGCAAACCACGTGAGTCACCCAACTTCCATCATCTATCCCATTCCAGATCTAACACCATTCCAACCCAATTTTACTCCCCAATTTTACTCCCCAATTTTACTCCCCAATTTTTCTTTACAAGCTGCTACATACTAACCCACAACACAACTTAGTCCCTCCTCCCCTCCACCTTCACCACCCCCTCCTCCCTCAGCACCCCGCACCCCACCCTTCTGGTCCTACAACTCGAAATCCCCCTCCCTACCGTCCTCCAAATCCTCACCCTCGCCTCTAGCCTCTCCATCCCCGTCCTCCTCAACCCCGCGCCCGCCGTCAAACTCCCCGACTCCGCCTACCCCTCCATAACCCACCTGATCCTCAACGAAACCGAAGCCGCCATCCTTACTTCGCGTCCCGTCTCCGCAGTCGAAGATCCTGCTTTTGAGTGGCGCGCGGTCACAAATGAGTTCCTGAGCAAAGGTGTCAAGACGGTGATTGTAACGCTTGGATCGAAAGGTTAGTATATCATTCCTTCATGATGAAATCAAAATATATTCATTTCCTCCCCTCCCCTCTCCACCCAAACCCCAAAGCTAACCCCCTCCCCCTCACCCCCCTAGGAGCCATCCTCGCCACCTCCAAAACCTACACCCACATCCCCGCCGAATCCAACATAAAAGTAGTCGACACCACCGCCGCGGGCGACACATTCGTCGGCGCCTACGCCGTCGATCTTGTGCGTCATACCTCTCCAACCGGCCAATCCACCGATCAGGATCACGATCACGAGAAAATCCTGCTCTCCGCCGTTCGGAAAGCATGTAAAGCGGCCGCGCGAACAGTCGAGAAAGAGGGTGCTCAGAGTGCGATTCCCTGGGCGGATGAGATTGATGTGAAGAGGAATTAGTCTTTACACTACTACCTAGGTACTCGAATTTATAAATCTAGAGAATTTTAGAGATTCTCTTCTTTTGATAGAAGAGAATACAAAAAAAAATACTAGCAGAGTACTCAACATATCAAGATTTAACTTCAATGTTACCATGCAGTTGATTCGCATTCAATGTATTAGATAATATCTATCATATCACATCATGCCATGCATTTGCCTTGCCTTGCCTCACCATTCCATCCAACCACATCTCATTGAATAGCCCTGACTCGATTTACTCGCCATCAATCCATCAGCGTATACGTAAAGGTCTAAAGCATTGAAAAACAATTTACAAAAACGCATACTGACTAAAACTCCATCGCCGTTACCGTATGTTATGTCCCAAACACCATTGATGCCTACCCATATGCAATCCTTCCTGCATTCCACCAATTCGCCACCCCGAAAGTTGTATGTAACGTGAATGAATAAGAATAAAGTTGATGAACGATGCAGAACAACGAAACGAGAAATTGTGTTGCCATTTCTCATAAAGCATTACGAGATGCCCGTGTACTGGCGTGTAATTTCCAATCACCAGCCATTAGATTCACGCTGCGAGCCATTGAATATATTTTGTTTAGAGACTCCCTGAATGCTATTTTCACTCGACCATCTGGTACATTTGTTAGCTCGATTAATGCCTTGATCAGATGGTATGAAACTTACATTCGAACTTTGCCGTCATCACCAGCGGAAGCGAACATTCTTGGATTCATTGGGTTCCAAGAAACCGCATTGCAGCAACCTTTCTTGTGAGCTTCTAGTTTTTCTACCACTGAACCGTTCTCTCGGTGGTATATCACAACATTGCCTTCTATAAGTGAATCTGTTAGTAATGTAGGCGTGCAATCCAAAATCTGAATCTTACCTTCACTTCCGCTAACTACAAAACTTTCATTAGCACCACCGAAAGAGCTTCTGATAATGAATTCACCCCCTTTATCCCCAGATACGAAGGTTCGAATTGTTTCGCCGGTGTCTATATCCAGCATGCGTGTTTCTCCAGAATTACAGTGTATCAGCAAGTGCCGTGAATTATCGCTGACGCTGATTGAGCATAGTTGAACTTTGAGGTCCAGCTCATATTCAAGCTCGCGAGTTATGAAATTATAAACATAGAGATGAGTCAAATGTTCGATAGCCACTAGTCGGCTTCCGTCCGGTGTGAGTGCTATATCTCGAATACGATGGTCTCGGCCCCAGTCATATACGAGCTCACCATTGAGGTTCCATTGGCATAAGTTCTTTGTGGTAGCTAAGCTGCCTGTGATAAAGTATTGTCCATCCGATGTCCATACACAACAGGACACAGGCTCCCCAAAACGAGGGAGCTTCGTCAACAAATCGCTAGTCTAAGAAATTAGTAAGAGGATTTTGACTATGGACTTCTAACTTACTGCAGTATTCCACAACAAAGCTCTGTTATCACGGCCACACGTGACCATTCTCGTGTCATCAGGACTCCAAGCAAAAGAACAGACTCCACCTTCATGTTCAGAAAAGGAAGTATGAACACTGAAAGCCGGAACATTATAAATAATAAGAACCCCATCGCTTCCGCAGCTTGCCAATAGAGTTCCATCATGTGAGAATTTTGTATCCCATACTTCACCAGCATGTTTGGTAAGTTCGATGATGGGTCGCAATGGAACGTTACTTCGGTCACATGTATGATCCTGGTACAGCGAAGGTGACTCATGTGTGTTGTGATAAACACATGTAGATATCTGATGTCGTTTTACTTGGTCAAAAAGTGTGGCCAAGCGATTCTCAGGTAACATGGCTGATGGTGAAATACACCCTAGGAGAGTGTTAGTATCACATAGTAACCGAAGCCAGTAACGAAAATCTTACTAGATAGGTGTGAGAGGAGTAAATGTCTGGATTCTCCAGCGGCCCCATCCCAATTAGCCTTGACCTTAAGGTCCGCAGGTGTACACATCAGTAGGCTAGTACAAGCGATCAGTGTTTAGTCTAGATAAAGATTGTAGAAATATATCAACAAAAACATACCTTGATAGAAAATGCAACTTGGCGGTATCTTGATATAGTGGAGTAAGCTCAGAGCGCAAAACATTTATTGCTCTGCCCATGTCTTTTCGTTCAAGTAATTCCAAGAACTTTTGTTGCCGCATCCAGAACCTCATAATGTTCTTATCTACACCATCTCGAAGAACCAATCCATCTCCGTGAATATTAACTCCGCCTTCCTCTGTAGATCCCCCAAAAAGCAGTTCTTCAGCTTCGATCCACTCGCCCTGTAAAACTGCATTTCGGAAAGCTGCTACAATCGGACTTTCAAGATCATAACCACTTTCCTGACTCAATCTCGCTGCAGCACCATTGTAGCCCAAACCTGTCAAAGCTTGGATCAAGATCCTAGTGACTTCTTCTCTATCATGTCCAAAATATGTCGATGTAGTTCTGACACCTGCATCTGAGTGCCCATTGGTGCTCGATCCATTCATGGCTACCGAGGAAGAATGTGCACCATTGGCAGAATTTGAGAGGGCTGTCTTGTGTAGACGAGAAGTCCCGGCTCCATTTGAGAATGGTTTCGGGCTACCGTTCGAAGTACTATCCTCTCCTTCAGATCTCATACTAGCACTTTGACGTCTTCTTTTATTGCGGTGTTCGCTTTCTAGGTTTGAAGGATTCGAAGAGTCTCCAGGACTCGAAAAAGTATTTGATTGTTCCCCTCGGTCAATAGTATGATCTCGACGTCTACGACCGAGGACTTGATCTTGAGCACGTCTCGGCCGGAGTTCAGCTTGAGGTGTACCGCGAGTTCTAGCAGCTTGGCTTGCGGGATCTATGTTATATCTGTCGAAAGAAGGCGGAGCGTCGACTTGATCTGTTCTGTGATGAGATGGCGGTAGAGGGGCTTGGGCTGAGAAGACAGTGCTGGTTGATCGTGGAGGGGAAGTCGGGATGGGTGGGTCGTCGGGAATGGATAAGGATGGTAATGGTATATGGGGGTTGTCGTCTGCCAGGACGAAATCTGCGGAAGTGCCGCTGCGTGAATATAGATTCTAGAGAGGGGCCTCAAGAATCTTGTGGGGGTTGTTGAATTGAAGTACGAAGATGCAAGTTGTTGTAATGCAGGCCAAATTCAAAGTAAATCAAGTATAGAAAGTCTGGGGTTGTCGTGGTTAAATGCTCGCCTTTGCATCTGCGAGACGAACAGAAGCTCGAGCGAAGTAGAAGCTGCTAATAGAGTGAATGATTAGAATCGGTCAAAGAGGTGGGTTTGAACAAAACTTGTGGAGTGAATTCGAATGTTCATATGGAGAGAGGTGGAATAGATGAATGAATCACAAAGGATCTTATTAATGTTAGGTATTCACATACTTATTATTATTCGTTGTAATAAAAGTATAGAGTTCGTGATGATTTTAAAGTCGAAAAATCGATTTATCGATTTATCAAGTCAATCAAGCTCTCTCTTCATGGATGTAGGGTAGTGTATTTCTCATTGTAACTGTAATAAGTCCGGTAATCGAAGGATGTCGGACAGGTGACAGGTATTTGGGGTTCCAGCACATGAGGTTATGGGGATGATACCTGGGTGGGTAGGTAGGTATGGTATGTGTGCTATGTACAGAGTAATACTGTAATACCGGTATGTGCTTGGATTAGGAATACGGTGGACCATTCGATCTTTCCAGTCAGCAAGCGTCCGTCACCCTTTACCAACCCACCCTATCATGATTCTTATCAACCTGAAAGTGCCCGTAGATACGAAAGCGTAATAAGCTGTTAGACTTTGGAAGAACATGTGCTACATATAAACTTAATCTACCACCCACCCACTCTGTGACTGCACATCTGCACATGGAACTGACTGGTGTTGATTCACATTATGATGCTGGATTAAGAGAAAAGGGCATGCAAGGAGGGATATGTGACCTCATCAAATGAACTGTACTATGGTTTGAGAGAGGGGGAGAGAGAGAAGTAGGAATATGAAATGAATGAATGAATGAATGAATAGATGAGAATACCTACCGATATATCACATAGCTCTGGTGAGCACCGACGTAGGTATTCTTGAGAAAGAGAAGGCGGCCATCATCTATATACATACATAGTACCTATATACCCAGTAGATACCTACCTACCTACCCTACCAAGCCTCCTTCTTCACTCAGGTCAGGTCAGGTACGGTACCGAACAACACTCATTATTACTACGGAGAGCCATCATTATGATAAGTGCACTCACCCTTATGAACATCCCTCCCGCCATTTACTAACCATTCTCGCCATTATCCGCCCTCGCCGCTGTCCATAACCTTACCAATTGAAAGCCTGCACTATTATTTAAAGATCATCAATGGTTGGGGAAACTTAGGATAGGAATGAAGGCGTGTATCTAGAGCGGCACGAGCCGTATTTAGTAATAAATAGGTACATACCTACCTACCTAGACAAATTACCTACTCTGTATGATAGATTGATACCAGGTAAGTGTACCCAGACCTTCAAATCGTATCTGTGAGTAAAAGCTTCAAGCCTTCCTGTAATTGTAATAATAATAAGGCTCAGGTGTACGATGTACGTACTGTATTGTAAAAGGCTCCTTCCGTTGACCGACTGATATCCATATCCACTTGGTTAATTGTTCTCTCTCTCTCTCTCTCTCTATCATTGATCCTTTTTACATGTCATGTAATCGTACATACTACATCCATTGTACATATCCCACGACCACCTAATTTTCAATTCGGAGTTGGTTGGCTAATGATTAAATTCCCATTGTCTCCATCCTTGATCCTTTTATGTCACTTGGTCTTCGTCCTCGTTTGAAAGCTCGGCCCTCATTCTTAGATCTCATCAAAATCCAACATATTGATACCTTGTCAATAGCTCCAGTCGAGCTTAATCAAGAACCATTACCACAACTTCCTCTATCACCCCCTCCAACAACAATCCAATTCATAGTTCCTAACACAAGCAAAGAAATCGCCAGCATGGCTCCTCAACGAGATGCAGATGGAGAGGAACAATTTGGTTGGTCTTGACCTGTTTTCCCTATCCTACCAACATAATTGCTAATCGCCCGTCGACAGGTTCAATTTACTCCGTATCAGGGTTTGTGAAAGGCTTCATCAAGATGTCTTCCTCCAGCTAATTATCTTTAGTCCGGTCGTGGTGGCAGAGAATATGATCGGAGTTGCCATGTACGAGTTGGTCAGTTCGATGTGCCAATTCAACCCAACTATTGTGTTGCTAACTGATGAATAGGTTAGAGTCGGTCACGATAATCTTGTCGGTGAAGTTATTCGAATCGAAGCGGATAGAGCGACTATTCAAGTATACGAGGAAACAGGTATGGCAAAACATATGGATCTGGGTTGAAATTATAACTGACTGTTGGGTATAAAGCTGGTGTTACCGTTGGAGATCCCGTTGTGCGTACTGGAAAGCCTTTGTCTGTCGAGTTGGGCCCAGGTCTCATGGAAACAATTTACGATGGTATTCAAAGACCTCTCAAAGCTATCGCAGACAACTCCAACAGTATCTACATTCCCCGTGGTATTTCCGTTCCAGCTTTGAACAGAGAAAAGGATTGGGATTTTAAGCCGATTATGAAGGTTGGAGATCACATTACTGGAGGCGACATTTGGGGTACAGTCTACGAGAACTCCCTCTTGGATGATCACAAGATTCTTTTCCCACCCAGAGCCAGAGGTACAATTACTCGCATTGCTGAAAAGGGAAGCTACAAGGTCGACCAAAAGATCCTCGAGGTTGAATTTGATGGCAAGAAGACCGAATATAGCATGATGCACACATGGCCTGTACGTGTACCACGACCAACTACCGAGAAATTGGCAGCAGATAAGCCTTTTATCGTTGGACAACGTGTATTGGATGCTCTTTTCCCTAGTGTTCAAGGAGGAACTGTCGCCATTCCAGGTGCTTTCGGTTGTGGTAAGACTGTTATTAGTCAATCTGTTTCTAAGTTCTCAAACAGTGATATTATTGTATACGTTGGATGGTAACGTACAATCCTTTCTAGATCACAGCGATATTATACTAATATCATATATAGTGGAGAACGTGGAAATGAGATGGCCGAAGTCTTGATGGATTTCCCAGAACTTTCCATTGAAATCGATGGACGTAAAGAGCCTATCATGAAGCGGACCACACTTATTGCCAACACATCCAATATGCCTGTCGCCGCTCGTGAAGCCTCTATTTACACGGGACTCACGATAGGAGAATATTTTCGCGATCAGGGTAAAGATGTTGCCATGATGGCTGATTCTACATCTCGTTGGGCAGAGGCACTTCGTGAAATTTCTGGTCGTTTGGGAGAGATGCCTGCCGATCAAGGTTTCCCCGCTTATCTTGGAGCTAAACTTGCTAGTTTCTACGAACGTGCTGGTAAAGTTAAAGCTCTTGGTGGACCTGATCGTGAAGGTAGTGTCAGTATTGTCGGTGCCGTCAGTCCCCCTGGTGGTGATTTCTCCGATCCTGTGACAAGTAGTACTTTGGGTATTGTGCAAGTTTTCTGGGGTCTCGACAAGAAACTTGCTCAACGTAAACATTTCCCTTCTATCAACACTGCAGTCAGTTACAGTAAATATACTACCGTTCTCGACAAATACTACGAAAAGGATTTCCCCGAATTTCCCAGACTTCGAGACCGTATAAAGCAACTTTTATCTGATTCTGAAGAATTGGATCAAGTCGTACAATTGGTTGGAAAATCAGCATTGTCTGACCCTGACAAGATTACTTTAGATGTAGCTGCATTGATCAAGGAAGATTTCTTGCAACAAAATGGTTACAGTGACTATGATCAATTCTGTCCTATTTGGAAGACTGAATGGATGATGAAGGCAATGATGGGATTCCACGATGAGGCTCAAAAAGCAGTCGCACAAGGTCAAAGTTGGACTAAAGTACGTGAGGCTACCGGAGAGCTTCAATCCCAATTGAGAAATATGAAATTCGAGGTTCCAAGTGAAGGCGAGGAGAAGATCACAAAGAAGGTATGTTCATCCATAGTATCCATTTGTCCGATAGTATCTTTATCTAACATCTTTATAGTACGAGGATCTTGTTCAAGCTATGACTGATAAGTTCGCTTCGGTTATCGATGAGTAAAAGAAAGCATAATAGGCGATTATCTTGGGGGAAGCGGTCTGGAGGTCTGCATTTTTTGCTTTAGCTTGTACCAAAGTTTTGTTGAGTGATAGATATGAGAATGTATGCATATAACGAGCGAATGGACTTCATAAGAATGAATCTTCTTCAACAACCTTATTGGTGTGTCTAAGTATAGTTTGACCGCTAACTGATTGATTACACAAGTGGCAAGCGTTGATGTCTGTATAATGTGATTGTTAACAACAGACTAAAGCGTCTAAAAATCTCTTGATCTGGTATTATTCTCTCTCGAACCGAAAATCCTTGAATCATTAATTGAGTTCATTCGAAGTGACTCTGTCGTTTTAACCTCGTTCATTTACCAACTTCTGATTGGCTGAGTGAGGAGTTTTCTTGCTGAATAATCTCGGAAAATCCTCGCTAATTCTTTCATGGTAAGAAAATATACTGAGAAGTGATTTCGAGGGACCACTATGATGCGAAACTCGAGAAATTTTCCTTGGGGCCCAAAAGATTCCCAGCTGTAATGTATTGGTAAGTATACAAAAATACACTCTCCTCTTCTATAAGGCTGACAGGCAATGAGGCATCAAAAGACTTTTTACGGGAAAGTAAAAAATTGACATTAAGAAACACATCTAATCCCCGCACGTGAAAGACTCGAAGCATTGAAAACATGGGAAGCACAAATCCTTCTTCCACTCCCACTCCCACTCCCGATGCCCAAAATCCCTCCATCCAACACTGGCAAAATGGATTAGTCCTCTACTCCAACTTCATCACACCTCAAGAAGAATCCGAAATCATCTCTTCAATCCAAAAAGATGATCGTTGGTGCGGAATCGGTAAGCGACAAACCATGCATTATGGTGCGCATTTTGATTATACCACTTTCTGCGCTTCGGAGACGTGGACCGATGTCCCAGATTGGATGGAGAAATTGGTGGGGAGATTGCCGTTTAAGGGGGAAGGGGAAGGGCGGGTGGATCAATTCACCGTGCAGTATTATCCACCGGGAACGGGCATCCCACCACATGTGGATACGCACTCGGCGTTTGGAGAGTATTTGTATAGCTTGAGTTTGGGGTCGGCGGTACCGATGGGGTTTAAGAGGTGTGGGGGAAATGAGGAGAGGAAGATGAGGAGGCCGAAGAGGTCGTTGGGGGAGGTGAGTGGGGATGTGAGGAGGAAGGCGGATGAGGATGGAGAGGAGAAGTGGGAGGTTTGGTTGAGGGAGAGGAGTTTGTTGGTTATGAGGGGGGAGGCGAGATATGGGTTTGTGCATGGGATTAGGGGGAGGAAGTTCGATGTGGATGGGGAAGGGGAGGGGGCGAGCGTGAAGAGGAGGAGAGGGGGGAGATGGAGTATTACGATGAGGAGTGTGAAGAGAGGGAAGGAGATGGGGTGTGAGTGTGCGTTTCCGGGGGTTTGTGATGCGAGGATTAGGGAGGAGAGGGAGAGGGAGGAGAGGGAGAGGGAGGAGAGGGAGAGGGAGGAGAGGGAGAGGGAGAAAGAGAAAGAGAGAGAAAGGGAAATCCGGGAAGATGGTGAATGTATACCTGCAGTTCCACCTAAATAAATGCATTAATCAAGCCTAGAACAAGCCTACCCTCTCAACATACCTAAACTTAAACTTTACACTTGACCCAATCTATCAATCCACCAAACATAAACACAAACTCGGCTAGCCCCCTTAAGTTTGAAGAAGCTATGCAAGAGTACTAGATTTGTAGGGTGAGGGGAACTATCTTTGGTGAAACGGATCTGTCTACTAAATTTACGACAACCAGTCTGAGGTTACTTTCACATTCTTCAAAACATCCAAGACCATTTTAGTAAATTTCACTCCAGTGAACATCAAGCAAATAAACATCGAGTAACTCACTACCCACGGAAGTAAACAACCATTCAAATATATCCTCCAATCTCCAATCTCCACAAAATATAATCACTATATGGTATAAAATTAACTAAGTAAGCAACTCTCGAAGAATAATCTTACGGTATTGTATTACATATTAAACACCAAAAGTTCAAAGTTCAAATGTCATAATGCCATAATATCATTCAAGAAAATGAAGAGATGTTGAAATGAAGATGTATATGGATAGGATGGTAGGATAGTAGGATAAAGTCGGATAAAGTAGGATATCCATTAAATGAGAAAGGTGGTGTGATTTGATACTTGTGATGTTTTAAGTTTCGTATAGAGCGCTTGCGGTTTGAGATTTGGATTTGTTTGTTGGATCTTGGGATTTGGGATTTGGGATTGGAATGTAGGTTGGATGGATGGATGGATAAGAATGAGATGGAGATAAATGAAGATAGATATAACAGTAGTTATTTGTACATAGTTTGATAGTATTGGAAAAGGGGTTCTTGAAACTTGTGTTTGAGATGGAGATGGAGATGAGATGGGGACCCGGAGTTAGTTCTCGTATGCGGAGTGTTGGATGGGTAGGTAATTATTACCTAGATACCTACTATAAATGACCGGCTATTTATGACTCTTTGTTGATCGATACAATACAATGCAATGCGATGAAAATGAAAATGATAATTGGTCGATCGTTTTCCTATTCTGTAGATCGAGAGATACATAAGGTGATATTTTCAACGCGGACAGGAGACAGTATAATCCACAGTGAGCTGACAATATATCCCTTTTCCTCCTGCCTGGTTTTCTATACGAGCGGTCGGTATTTCAGTATAATCGCTGGAAATACGGCTGCATTTCCAGATAGAAATCATTCAATTGTGAAAAGAGACTAAGAAATTCGTGTGTAGTTGGGTGTTGAGAATTGTACCCAAATTAACTATACCCGAGTTCCAGTGAACTATTTCTCCAAATCATGGCCAATTTGAACATCTCTCGGTTTTCCAATCCCGGCCGTCATTTTACCCTCGGAGAAAGGAGCTCCTGAAACGGGTTTTCTCGGACTGAAGTGATTATTAGATTTGATTCGAAAGCTTTTAACTTTCCTTGTCATCCATTCCCATCTCCATACTAGAACCGCTGATACTATGGTAATAGGTATGCTGATAGCAAGGTATAGCCAAATATCGACATCAATTCCAGAAGTGAGTTCTGCTATATTCATACCGAAAACACCGGCAACGAACGATAGTGGAATGTACACCGTTGAAAGAATTATCAAGACCGTAAAGTTTGTCAGCACTGTGATTGGAAAAATTTGACGATATTTGCAACGTACTTGACATTGCTGGCTTGATGTATGGCTTTTCTACTCTCCTCAACAGCTATCATTGCTGTAAGTAATGGTATACCGGCACTATTTTGCTTCATTTGAATCATGACTTTTCAAGGAATTGATAGTCTTTCAATCTTTCCTCGTGTTCGCTCTTGAACCGGTGACTGCTTTCCAGAGAATTAATGACACGAAGGTTGATCTTTAGCATACTCCATGTCTGTTTGAGATACTCCTCGAATGACTCTTTCTCCGAAAGCCTTACTTCAGTTGTGGCGAGGTATTGAGGTTTGAGACCTGGAAGCATATATGCTTCCTGCTCGCGGATGACGGCTTGCCATTCATTGCTAGCAACCCGCAATACCACCCACCGCGATTTTCTTCCTATGATTGTCTGGCAGTCTTCCCAGGACTCGTTTCGCCTGAAATATCGATGAAGTTGTTCTTGAAGTTGGTCTTCGAGTCTTGAACGTATGGTCTGAGGAATTTCAAAGTGATCACCGCACTGCTTGGGATTCTCATCGCAGATGATCAAAGCTATTGATGTAGGAAATGAGCTCAGGCCACTTTTAAGAAAAAAAGGGATGATAGAATTCCAATACTTTGCGACAGTGGAAATCATTAGAAAATACAAATAACAACATACACTCTTTGCTACTTCGTGACTCCCATACTGTGAAGTGTCTTCCGAAGAAACCTAATTACCATGGCAAAATGTACTCCTTTTGTTTTGGGGTTCTCGAATAGATTTTGCAGAGCTTCGTCTATAGTAACGTTGATAAGATATGACCACATGATCCTGGATGCAGCTTCTACTCGGAAGCAAAAACAAGACGTCATCGCTGGCACGCTTAATGTGGTCTCGAAAGACGTCGATGCTACAACCCAACAAGCGGCTGACTATTGGCGATGTACGAACCGATATGTCATGTAAGAAGTACAAACACATTGGCGATTTCGATTAGAGTTTGCTTCAGATACTCCGATAATCCCTCTGTGTCCTTGATTATAACCTTGAACATTTTACCCCAAGGCCCGAATTCCAGAACGTGCATATCAATGGGCAAAACTTTTTCACAAGACTCGGTGTGAATATTGATAAAGAAGTTTGCTGATACTGAAAGCTCCCTGGCTCCAAATTTTGATAACTCTCCCAAGAAATCCCAGTAAAGCTCTTCCACATTTGGTAATACACTATTGCTGTAGTTAAAATCATCCGAATCACCTGAATCATCTGATGTGCTTTCGCGAGGACCTGCTACCTCGATACGTTCAATCCTGGGCTTAGTCACGACATTGACAGCTTTCGGTTCCGAGACACTAATTGAGTCGTCGCCGCGCACCGAAGGTGGAAATTGACTACTTCGCTAGTTAATCTTTGCAAATGGATTCAACTCATTGCCTGGATCATACGACGCATCTCGGCGTGCAGCGCGCTTGGTAGTAAAAAGATTAAAATTAGCTATGGCCACAATGTATTGATTCTAATGTTGATTTGGATACCGTCGACGTCTTTAGGTGCAAAACTCGAGTGTCTGACGAGATAGATGCACACCTGTGCTTTCCACCCTGTAGTCGACCATTCTCAGCATCGAATATACCAGTCAGGCCTTGTAGCGCGAAGCCTCTATCTAGCACTCGATAGGCGGCCGAGACATTGTTCACCCTGTCTGTCCTCTTGACTGTACCAGGATTTACAACCAAATCGGATTTGGAACTTTCCAAACCAATACAGCATCTGCAACAATAAAAAAGGTAAGTTATGCCTTGCCTTCCATTTTTATGTGATGAATCATTTATCGTCTCTCGTGGTGAAATTAATATGTTGTATAGCGCACCCATTGGATATTCTGAGTAGTTTGCTACTAATGAACAACTTTCGTATATCTAACAGTGGAATCTTTCATACAAAAACTCATTCAGGTGAAGAATATCCTGGGGGTAGATTGAGCGAAAGTGCACGTGAAAGACTAAAATCCTTGGGCAATACAAGCTCTCGGGCCACCTCTTCCGACAAGAACTCCAGGACTGATGTGTTTGAAGCTGTTCACTATGGTTTCAGACCTCGACATCGAACAATTGATCATCAACACCAAAATGCGTTTGAATTATTGCTACAAATACCTATTGCTTCATTTCTAAATACTAATTTACCAGATTCACTAATATCAGAATATAATCATCATGCCTAATCTACTCGGAAACTTCAATCTGTAAGTTCAACAACTCCCTTCATCTTCTCAATTACTCGAAATCCGCATTCTAATATCTTACCAATCTAGTCCCGCCGATTTCCTCGGCCGTTTCCTCAAATCGCAGTTCAAGAAACTTCCATATCCAGAGACCTCGTTTGCGGGCCAAACAATCATCATCACCGGCGCAAACACCGGACTTGGTCTCGAAGCCGCTCGACACATTGTTCGACTGGGTGCTGCAAGAGTGGTTCTCGCATGTCGTACCATTTCTAAAGGCGAAGCTGCTGCTGCTTCTATATCTGCCTCGCTTCCTAATCACAAAGCCATTGTCGAAGTATGGCAAGTGGATCTCACTTCGTATGCTTCTGTCAAAGCATTTTGCGTCAAAGTTGACCAGCTGGACCGATTAGATGTTATGCTAGAGAATGCGGGATTGGCAGTGCCGAAATATGAGGAGTTTGAAGGGATGGAGAGTACGGTGACGGTGAATGTGATGAGCACATTTTTAATGGCATTACTGGTACTGCCGAAATTAAGGGAGAGTGCTGCGAAATTTAATATAGTGCCGAGATTGACGATTGTAGCGAGTGATGCGCATGAACAGGTATGTTTTACCCCTTCATCTGTTGTCTAGCTTCTCAGTATTCCAATTTGGCGAGCGAGGCATTAGCGATTTTCGAACTTGCCCCTCAAAATGAAATCGCTTCAAGAATATCCAAAAACTAACACAAATATCCTTCTAGGCGCACTTCAAAGAACAAACCTCCCCTCTCATCCTTCCCGCCCTCAAGAATCCCAAACTCCAACAAGACCGCTACAACGTTTCCAAACTCCTCGAAATTTTCATCATTCGCGAGCTTGCTCCCCGACTATCTAAGTCCGACAAAGAACAAATAATTCTCAATACACTTACCCCCGGATTATGTCATTCCGACTTGATGCGCCATGCTGTATTTCCTTTGAATATCTTGGCTTGTATCGGTAAATCTTTGTTGGCGAGGACAACGGAGGTAGGTAGTAGGACTTTGGTTGCGGCAGCCGCTGCTGGAGAAGAAAGTCATGGGGCATATATGGTGGATTGTAAGGTCAGCGAACCAAGTAGGTACGTGAGGAGTGAGAAGGGAAAGAATGCACAGATGAGGGTTTATACTGAGGTCATGGAGGCGTTGGAGCAAATTGAACCGGACATTACGAAACACATTTAAGAATGTACATGATTAGATCCAAATTTATATCTTATGAGCTATATACCAATCATATTCCTAACCTCATTAAACCACCCATTAAATCACCTATCAAAACTACTTTATGATCCTAAAACACCCTCCAACTCATAAGCACCACTCCCCTTTCTGACAGACCCCGCACTCCGTTCAAAATATTTCACTGCTCCCTTTGTAGTCGCACAACTGCTTATACTACCACCATTAATATCCGCTCCCACCGGTGTCTTTTTCCCATCCTGCACTCTTCCAAGCACATGGAAGTAATACCACACCTCACTAAACACCGTATATCCATTATCCAAACTCCCCTTGCCCTGCTCCGTAGCATTATATCTCGGTCCCGAACATCCAATATACGGCACCGCCCCTGTCTCCTTCTTCAACGCCGATTGCAGCGAAGAAAGCGTATATGTCGTTGTGTTAGATGGAACGATATGGTGTTTGCTCAGGAAATCATAAGTTGGAAGGGTGGAAAAGTAGGAGAGAGCGGTGGTGTAGAAAGAGATTAGGTCGGAGAAGGGAGTGGAGTTGTATGTTGGTCCGTAGCAGGGAGTGTCGAAGGTGGAGAAACAGGTTGCGTGTTTGGAGAATTCGTGAGCCCAGAGATACCAGTTGGGTTGGTTTTGAGCAATCCAGTAGCTGGGGTTGGGATGTTAGTTTTGGGAGGGGTAGATGGGGAAAAGAGAGGGGGGGAGAGTGAAGATTTACTTGTTCATGTAGGCGAGGAGATCATATTTTCCGTAACTCTTGATGATCTCCGAGATGGGCTTTCCGGTGTAAGGGGGCACGGGTGTTCCACTTGCTGTTCCGGTTGTAGTATTGGGAGATGGAACCGGATCATATTGACGACTACATATTTCTAAAGTTAGTTTTGTATTTCTTTCTCTTCCCCCATAACTTCAAACCATAACAAAGCAAAATCCACAAACCTCAAATCGCAATACTGCGTATAACTCCCATTACAAAAATCAGGCCAAAGTCCATGCAACGTCCACGAATCCTTGGGTAACAATTGTCCTTCCGATTCGTACCCAGTATACGTATCCCAGAATTGGGTACTGAGAACTAGACCTCCAAAAGTCTCCGTACAGCAGGAATCGGTGAGGTCTGGAGAGGCATTTTTGGAGCAGGAGAGATAGGGTGTTTCTTATATTTTGTTAGATTTTTCCATTCTTATAGACTCGGGATTGCGATTGTGATGGGAAGAGTAAATACGCACTTAATTCACAGGTATGATTGAGACTACTTTCTCCATACAATGATGCTTGTACACCCTGGAATGGGAAAAGCAGAGGAGCGAGAAACGCAGTAATTTTAACAGTCTGCATCTTGAATACGTTCCAAAAACTTGACGGTGTAGTTGAGAAAGCGCAAGCAAAAAGAATTCCGTCTAGGCAATATTCGAACTTACCTTTGATCTTAAATATAAATAAAAAGTACTCGTCCAGACTTTTAGCTCACCTCGATCACATCGAACATGCATTTAATCTACCTAATTACCGTATAGGAACTCTTACCGAGTTCAAGGATGTTATTACTCCGAAAGCCTAGTATCGTGCAAATCCGAAAGGACCAAAAGACGGCAACTTATCAATGGTTTGAAATTACAGAGGAGAAAAGAAATAGAAAGGTAGGTGCTCAGGAACGTGCTGCAGTGTAACCAACGACCCCTCCTTGACAAAATCTTACACGTGGGGCAGGTAATGGATCGGAATTCCCCAAGAACGGTTTTGTTGTATTTACACCTGCCTTTCTAGGAAAGGACAATTGATCGCCAAGAATTGTGGATACTTTGTGAGGGTTTCTCAGCTGTCATTCGTATATATGACCGTTGGAGTGGATATGTGCATTGCATTTCCTATATTAAACTATACATGTACATGAAGGTTGGCCAGCCGAGCCAGCTCAAGGAACGGTGCTCCAAAAATCAAAAAATGTCAAATCGCTTATGCTTTTGTTTTATGCTTATGCATATCCTGCAAATATGTACAATTAAATGTGAAGTCATTCGTCTTCATGAGTCGTAATTAAAGCTGGGTATCTATACTAAAACTTTTTACGGTCTTCAACCTCTTCCAAATCTTCGATCAAAGAGCTTGAGTACACCCATAACACTTGCAGCCTCCACTTCCATGGGTGCTCTACCAGCATGTTGGAGCGGTGTAGCATGAAGACGACCTAACCACGTATTCAACTCATCACTGGCTTGATCGAAATTCTTGTGGGTAGAAAGAGTCTTGTAGGTTTCCGCAACAGATAAGCTTGGAGGTGGTTCTGAAGTAGATGCCGACTCTGTTGCCTTGCAACAGCCACCGCCGGAAGAATTGCCACCACAGCATCCGTCAGGAGGAGCTGAGCTTGAAGAGGCTCTCATTGCTGCGAGTGACCGACAGAATAGTCCTGCCTTTGGGTCACTTATACATTGTTTGCAAGTACCAGGGCCATTGGCACAAGAATTTGAAGCTGGTGAGGCGCTAACTGGTCGATGCATATGGTTGGGTTGCATAGATGGAAGTTTCACCTGTGTGTTTTCAACATCCGTATCTGATGGTGGAGGTGTAACTTCATTAAGTAGAGGTGCAAGACGATTCTCCTGTTCTCTTTCAGCACACGGGCAAAATGTTGATTGGTCACAGAAGCCGCATGGTTCTATAGGTCGCGATATGATCTGAGGTGGAGGCGACGGCTCACGGATGATAGGCTGTCGTCGTGAGAACTGGGCAGTAAAATCAATCTCGAGAGGACTGGAAGGCCTAGATGACAAACGAACACGCTTTTCCGAGGCGCCATCGACTGAAGGAGAATGTGCCCTCTTCAAATCCATGCCGATATCCTTAAGCGTTTCTTCCAAGCACTGACAATGAGTATCAGGACTACAATTGCCACAGCCTTGAGTAGACATAGCGATTACTTCTTCAGCACAAGCACATTCGCCCAATGACTTGCAACCGCCACAGCCAATTGCTTCACTTGACACCTCAAGGTCTGGAACAAAGAGGGTTTGCTCTTGTCGTGGCAGAGTTAAGGGTTGTGTTTGAGTGGATTGGCGATTCCGGCGTGGTGGGAGAGGAACTGCTTCAGTGCTCTTGCTTTGAAGTCCATTTCTGAGATATGCTAATTCCTTGAGTGCAGTTTCCTTTTCTCTCTTTTCGTAATCTGCAATCCGATCAAGGGTCTCGCATCGTAATCTCCATGATTGAAGTTCGCCATTGAACCTAGAAACCTCTGCCTCGAGTCTAGTAATCTTCAATCTCATATCATTCTCCCGTCTCTGTTGATCTTCCTTTGCCTCCTCGAGCTGTTCCTCTAATTCACCTACTCGTGCAGCACGTCGTTCTCTAAAAGCACGTTGAGCGGCTCTATTTTGAGCCTTTCTCTTTGTTGGTGGGGTATCAGTTGCAGGCTTTCGTCCGGGTTTCGG